GACACTATTAAAATTGTGTAGCACTTAAGCTCATGTAATGTTAGATTGTACTGTTTAAATATCCATTGTTTGTGACAAGTGCTTTAGAATCATGTATGCTAATTTCTTCTTCTTTCTTCTTCTTCGTTCTTTAATTTAGTGTAGAAAGAGATCCCCTCCAAAACAATTAATTAATTATACGTGTACATTGCTATGCTCCATTGAGGCCATTAAATCCGATTTCAGGCTGCTTTTCTTTTTTAGATTTGATTAAATAGACTTTGTCCAACCAACAACAAACTAACAGCAGCAGTTGTTTGATTTTAGAGTTGTCTCTCCTAGAAGAGTGGATGTCCGTAGCTAATGAGCCTCATCTGCCCCAGGGTTCAAACTCGAGACTTTTCGGTTTAGCAACCGTAAACTTTACCGACTCGTCCCCACCGATCTCTAATGCTCCTTTTAATTGTTTTTCAATATAAGGTTAGAGAAGAGTCTGGTCATCTTGCTATGGTCAACAAATACATTTATTATCATTCAAAAAATAGTGTCGATTGTTTTCATATCTGGCTCACGGGGGGCAACTTATCCGTCCCGGCTTGCTACCCCCCCCCCACACACACACACACTCATCCTTACTGTAAATAGGGGTATATTTTCCGAACTGTATCTTCGCCATCTGCGTTACTACAAGATGGATTAAAAATCAATACATTATATGGTATGAACGTGATAAAGGACTAGGTCATGGTAACCCATGAATTATCTTTTCATCTTGTTAAAGGACTACCAATGTTTATTAATTCAGGCATCTCTTTAGGAGCCCCAGCCTCCATCCCCTACCACCCACAACCCCCCACCAGCTCATGGAGAAGTAATTAACATAGAAAATATTAAATTTTACCACTATCTGACAACCGAAAATTGTGTCCGCCCCACCCCTCCCCTCCCCTGACTCTCAAACGTTTTAAGTGCCATCACCCTCTCCACGTAGAAAATAGAGAATGAAAAACTGATGAGTAGGTCATCGTGACTCAAAAGGTAATGAATTCATGTGTAAAAAGACTAGGTCATGTTGACACATAAACCACATCTTCGTTCACTCACCTCTTAGATTTTGACCCACATACTTAATATTAAACTTTTGAGGCTTCATATTTGTTTTATTACCTCAATTATATGATTTTCATATCAAGTTAAAAAAACTATCATTAAATGTAGAATACTTATTCCAATAACACGAAACTGTCATCTCCAAACTTTACAAAATAATTTTGCTTTGCCTAATGATATTCTATTTTTAAAAGTTTTCCTTGAACAAAACGTTAATGCAGTCCAACTAGAAAACGACAAAGTTTATATTTTTTCTCTTTTGAAAAGAAAATATAAGAAAAGTAAATTCGTCATGTGGTTTTTTTTTGTTTGTTTCTGGCATCAAACGGACAACTGTTCCACTTTAAACATTTTATCCTACAAAAAATGTTTTATCCTGAAATAGAAGAATTATATACCTTAATCAATTCATATAATGCAACGATTTGTTTAAATGTTTTTTATTAATTTAAATCACTATTCGCGGTCCGTATACGTGAAAGTTATTGTTATTACCACCCGACCACCAGGTCCTTTACTACTGGACCGGGATTGGTTAACAAGAACAAGAGTAATAAGGAATAAACACAATTAGTAACTGTTTCTGTCCGTGCCGCCCGGTGTCCTCGGATCCCCGCAGCCAGGCCTTTGGGAGTGTGTGGGTGAACAGGAACTGGGAACGAAAGGGGCCGACGTCCCCATGGCAGACATGTTGACCTAATGCTGCGGCCTCCTCGTGGCCACGGACGGGTGCCCTACCCGGGTAGCGAACGGCAGCTAGGGGTTTTAGTCTGTGCATCCGTGTCAGCCAGCGTCCCCTGGTTGATGCTTGGATGCCGGTCCGAAGAGCCTGGTATGTCGGACTCCCAAAACCCCCATATTGGGACCAGGAGATCTGCCCGCATTGGACGGGTGGATCTCCGTTATGGTCCCAAATAGCGAGGTGGTGGAGAGATGCATGACTGCTAGGAATTAAAAATGATCTGTTCACGATCCTAACCAGACGGTTTAACTTAAAGCTGCGGCCCTCATACGGCTTCGGACGAACGCTGCCAGTCGGACCAAATCCTCGGGGGGTGGCTGGGGGGCCGTCCCACAGAGGAAGCGGGATGGCTGGTGGAGTGAACAGCAGCTAGAGGATTTTCGTTCTGGACGGTGGAACTGTTGTGTGCGTCCAGCATCCAGCTTTTCCGAATAGCCTGACACGTCGGTCTCCCAAGTCCCGCACAGAACAGCGTGGGGGAGGGGAGTTGCAAGACAGTCGGGAACAAAAAGAGTCAGATATCGCTTTTGACTTGAAGCGGCGGCCTGACGAGGTTTCGGAATAATGTCGCTGGTCCGACCAAATCCACGTTAAGTGGATGCGGGACGGCCGAGGGCAGATAACAGCCGCTAGAGGTTTTTCGATCTGACGAGATGCCCCCCACGATCAAGCCGGGTACCAGGCGGTGGGACGACGTCCTGCGTCTGGTGGGAGGGGAAGAAAAGCCTGGTGAGAAAACCGCGGTTTTAGCGACCAATGTGTGGGGAGCCCTGGCCCCTTAACGGGGGCCGGGGCTTACTACATTGAGGCCTGCCTGGCTAATGGAAGTCATCCTTCTGAGCCGGTTTCCGCATAAGAAGAAGAAGAAGTAACTGTTTCTTGCAGTTCAGTGCCACGATTTAGTTACAACACTTAACATCAAACCGCCATCACATGAAATACAATGAGTAAAATACTACTATTTACAACGGAAATAAAAATAACTTTAAAGTGACTACTCAACTTGCCGCTAACGGTTAGTTCTATTCTAAGTCTACAGACATCACAACATGTCCCCTCTCGTCGTAGTCTTATCTTGCACTGTCACAGATGACAATACACTTATAAACAACATAAACTTTACATAACTTTTTGGAATATACACATTGATGTAACACACAACGCAACATATTTTCGATAATTTTCCGTTAAAACCCATAGAGACACCTACATCCTATGGCATATCTTAAAAATTATTAAAGATATCGGGAAAACGTTAACCATTTTAAAATCTACGTGTCATTTGACTCTAAATGTGTTCACATATATTTGAAATTATGCGTACAGACCTTGTGGTACTGAAAGGGTTAAAATAATTATTAATATCCCTTAATACCTGAATTATGTTCCAAGCGTGTTAAAAGTTGTTTGTGCTGATTTTCTCTCATCATACTGTCACTGAATTTGGGGTATATAGTTGTTTTTAAATTTGGACTTATTTTTTTATGTTATTTACGGTATGTCGCGAAAACGCGACATCAGGCACTTATGGACCAAACAATAATTAAATTATTTTTTTAGTTCGGGTCATTTTACTATTTACTGACACGTGTTTCTTTAAATATCCACGAACAAACGATAGAATATCACATACTAAACATACGGACATGCAAAGAGATATAAACACTTGCGAAATTCAAGTAGTTTATTAGCTCAGGCATAGAGTTACATAACTATGCTGCACCTGCTCACTGACTAACTCTAATGAATGGGTATTTTGAAGCCTTGCTGTCGTGGTTCTACTACACTACAGTAACACACTAGGTATGAAAGGACTTTCTTAAATGTGTAGAGCCTTAGTTCTCCCCGGTTACGTCATTTTCGTGAAATTCTATTCAAGGTCAACTAATAAAGACGCATATTTCTCAGTTGACATATACTTGTTATACACACAAAGCACGTGAACAAATACTGTCAGATAATGACAGTGTTTAGCAGTTGTATATTTTTCCATGCTCAATGCAGCTGCTGTGGGTACTCAGTGCCACTGGTGTGGGTACTAAGTGCTATTGTTGATGGTACCCAATGTTTCTGCTTTTGGTACTACGTGCTACGGCTGTTGTACTCGGATGATACTGCTATGGATTACCAATGACAGTGCTGTAGCTACATATTGCCACTGGTATGGGTACTCTGTGCTACAACAGTGGGTACTGAGTGTTGAAGCCGTGTGTACTGAGTGCTGAAGCTGTGGGTACTAACTTTTGAAGCTGTGGGTACTCACTTATGTAGATATTCAACAGCACTTCAATGGTTAGTTTTTGTCAGTATTACACCGTACTGTATTTATTACGAGGTGTAGGTCTATGCTCAGTGGTATTATTGTAAAGGTCGTTGTGGAGACCTATCTTTGGTGGAATTCAGGATAGTGATCCTCCACCTCACTTCATGTTGTCTTTTTCTTTTTTATGTTCTCCTAATATTTTACTTTGCTATTTCAAAGCTAAATTAGTTTTATTGTACCCAGCAACATGATCCCAATATTTCAGCATTGCTCTCTCTCCATATGTCAATATCAATGAAACAGGTGAACTCTACTTCACCTACCACATGGACAGCAACGTTCTAAAGTGCACTTTTATGTACATGCAAAGACTATACTGTAAATCCGTTACTTGTTTATAATGATACATATTGAATGACAGCTTGACGATGCATCGTATTTCGTTATACTTGCTTGGCACCCATGTACCATTTTATGTCTTGTTGCCGGCTGTCGCGAAAACGCGACAAACCGTAATCAGCCGATAACTTCCAAATGTAAGTAGGCTGAATTCACGAAGTCAAAAAAATTACGATGCGCGTGAGTCAAGAGAGTGTGACGTCATAAATTTCGACTTGACAACGTGACCATTGGTACAATACAACCGTCTGGATGTACCCAATACACAACGACCAGTAGCAGTAGGATAAATGTACCTATGCGCATATGCTATGCGCTAAATCGGTATGTCGCGAAAACGCGACTGTCGGCATTAAGGGGTTTTAACAAGTTATAAGCGACGTGTAATTGAAATACAAGTCTTAGGCCAGATAAGGCCCGCATATAGACAGAACATTAAAATCCAACAGTATTATATATCGACAACGCCTATCGATAACAACGTCATTCTTCTCTGCGCTGTGTGACTACAACCATGGGGACTCTGAAAATATTTGCCAGAGCTTTTGTAGTAGTGTTTGCTCTCAACTTTTTTCTGTGTTCTGGTAAGGTTATAAACTTTAAGTTGATACATTTAATCATTAATTTTATTTGATTTTAAAACAAAGATGTGTTGGCGATTGCTTTTACTTTCGTTTTTATCGATTGATCGAATTTCTATATGGAAATTTTACTTATCGTTTACCACCGCATATATACGGTATAATTAATATCCACGTCACTTAGCAGGTAAATATTTCAAACTATTGTGGACTAATAATTTCCGATTCACTAGAAACTTGCAACCATACTTTTTTTCAAATAAAAAACGTAATTAATAATTGATCGTGAACAACGTCCAATCTATCCACACGGATATAGCATACTTCTAACTTAATTTAACGCGGTTAGTTATTCATTTTCTAAGTTTTAATCCACAACTTAGCCTTGAGTGAGGTATGAATTCATTTACATGATTTAAAATTAAGTTTAATATGGTTTCGAACTCTTTTTTTTTTTGGCATAAGAGGAAATATATTTTTTATTGTAAAAAAGGTAATGTCACCTAATCCGATTGTCATTTTAGTATGGCTGATTGAGTTCAGCATTTTCTGCGACATAGATACTTATACTGATCTATAGATTTTAGAATAAGTAATTTTTTTCTTCAGTTGATAAGCATTGGACGGAGAGGCCTATCACTAGAGAGCTAGGCTGCTTACCCAAAAATATCGAGTTCGAATCCGGGTTCAAGTCAATAGAATGTCCATAAGCCACCCAACGTTGAGATGGCACGACTTAGTACAGACCACACTATTACTTAAACTGTTGCGGTTTCTAAATTAGAAGTTCTCTATGAAAATTAAAATAATGATGGTTCATCAACATCGTCCCCTAAACATTAGAATAATATACCTGCGAAAAAGTCCTGAAACAAGGGACTCCAAAAATCAATTGAAATTCAAATTTAATTTAAACATGCTTGACACAGGTCAACATGACGATGACAAAATAAAAGCTCAAGACATACACAAAAGAGAGGACACGATTAACAAGGTATTCAATTATTTTTAATTAATTTGTTATAAATGTTATATTCCTTTGTCACAAAAAAAAAAAAACAATTACAAAAAGTAATTGCAATAAAAAATGCCAGAAGTCATTCGTCGGCAACAAACGGTTTTTTAAGTTTCTATTAAAGTTAATAGGGCCTGTATTGCTAAAAATGAATTTCGTAAAAATGAATTCTTAGTTTCTATTACTTTTCAAGACATACCATTTAGGACACATTGAAAAAGAGAGATTACAAAAATTAACTCATCTTAAAAAATAATAACGCTGATATACAAGCAAATACACATTTTGTATTGTGTTTTTTTCTGTTTAAAATTGAGTTTTATTCAATACTTCATCAATGGAAGTAGCAGGTTTGCGTTAAGGTGCCCCCTCCTCCCCTCTACCTTCCCCAGCCCTGTTGGAACTTGTCAACTTTGATCTTAAATGTCTATTTACCTCTAATGAATCATTTATTTAAATGTAACGATCTTTTTTTGCCTTTGAGTCACTCACTAAAATTGTGACCCCCCCCCCCCCCGCTGCGGTCCATAAATACGTTATATCAATACTTTACTCTTTTGTTGCAATACATGTACATGGGGCCGTTGGTTGCTAGCGTCCCATTTATGGGACGTTTTTAAAAAAAAATCGATATTAAAAAATCCACAGGCATTCTTGCATTTAGAGCCCAAAAGCTAATCCATTTCAAAAAATTATAAAAAATTGAGACCTTGGAATAATATAGGTTAACATAGCTGGAAGTAGCAGGTTTGCGTCATGGTGTCTAACCCCCCCCCCCCCCCCCCCCGTACCTTTCCCATCCCTGTTGGAACTTGTCAACTTTGATCTTAAAAGTCTATTAACCTCTAATTAATTATTTATTTAAATCGAATGATCTTCTTTTGTTTGGAGTCACTCCCTTAAATTGTGCCCCCCCCCCCCCCCCGGTGCGGTCCATAAATACGTTACATTACAGCTTTACACTTTTGTTGCTGCTATGCCAACAGTATTAGAAACTGTAAGAAAATCACGGCGCCCCACGTTTTTCATCGCTTATAGTAGAGTGATCGCTTGCATTATTGTGATGTATAGCTTTTTTTTCTACTTTTTAGTTCATTCAGAAAACGTGGGTTTTTTAAAACTTTTTTAATGATAATTATTTTCTACTTTTTAGTCTTTGTCTGTTTGTTTGCTTTAAAATCTTGCTATCGATTTTATCTTTTCGCATTCACTTTTTTTTGGGTAAACGAAGACAACTCGTAAAAAACACGTGCCTTGAACCCGTGTCGAGTGGGTTAGCAATCGTGTGCCCAACCACTCGAACATATCGTGTCCCCCATACTGGCCACTAGTTGTTATGTTCTGGTTGTTTGTACACAAACACCGCGTGATAACTACTCAGTAAGCAAAAAGAGGGAGAGTACCGAACCTTGTTTTCATCAAATTACAATTACTGGGTTATGTCCCTTTTTCCCCACGTTTTTTGTACAATTATAGCGGTCTAAAATGATCAATAAAATGTTTCCATGGATCAATTTAGTAATAATAACAATTGAATATTCTATTGTCATCGGAAACAAAGCTTCCCTGAAAATTTCAGCGCGCTAGCTAACTGGGAAGTGTCCGAAATTTCGATTACAAGATTTGATTGGAAAGACGCGAAAGCAAGTTAAAGAAAACGTGGGGAAAAAGGAAGATTCACAAATAAAAATAAAAAAAAAAATTAGCTTTGACTTGGTGTGTCTTGATCCAGCACCACCTGTCTGGTATCAAGTACACTATCATCTCAGCTAATTAGGTACCTTTTAATATATGGAGAATAAAAGAAGTGTTTAAAAAAAATAACTTACACGAATATGCCTATTTTTTCAAATTATTTTTTTACCCAAAATTAGCCAATTTCATTGCTAAACAAACAAAGATTTCTATAAAATATTTAAGTCCTGAAAAAGTTTATTATGGAAATTTATTTTTGGAATAGATTCTACAGTAGATGGAGTCTAAATCTAGATCTAGAATAGATCTAAGCGACGTAGCGTAGATTTAGATCTAGTCTAGATCTAGAATCTCTAGATCTAGAATCCAAATAGATAAAATAATTTTTTTAAGTTCAGGCCGAGAATATCGTATAGTGTAGTCTACATTTCATAGCGTACATAGCTCTAAATCATATTTGAATGAAATAGTTTATTTTTTAAAATTCTAAACTCGGAAGATGACGTCATCAGTTTTGTGCTTTTTTTTTTTATTTAGTGTAAACAATAAGCGACGTCATTGTTAAATGCGTTCTTGTCCCAAGTTTATACACTTTTCCGGTTGCATAAATAATAGTGTTTCTCTATATTCGAATACGCCTTTTTTAAATTTTTCTTCTTTAAATAAAATTGTGGTTATAAATTTAAAACATATAACATATTATTTTCAACAAAAGTCCGTATAAAGGTATCCATATATTGCTGCCGATTCTGACGTGATGTCCGGCGAAAATATTTTGCGGACAGAGAGAGAGAAGAGCGCACATGGTCTTTTATATATTAGGATACTTATATATACACACATACGCAAACACACAGAAACACGCACACACATGTCTATATATCTATATATGTATATATATATATTTATTTATATCTATCTATCTATATATATATAAAGCAATGTATGTGTGTCTGTGTGTGTGTCTGTCTGTGTGTCTTTTATGCATTACCACACCTCTTATCCCATCGCCTTGAAACTTTGGGAAGTTGTTGAGAATATTCCTAGGGAGGTTTCTACGAAAAAAATATTATAAATTCGCAGGGGTGGCGCCTCGGCAGGGCGCGATTTGTTTTTCTCTATATACGGTATATAAAAATAAAAGTCTATTTTGATTTCACACTGTTCATCCGATAGGCATGAAACTTTGGGGAGTTGATTAGAACACTCTAGGAAAGAGTTATGTACAAAAATCATTTTTAATTTCGCAAGGACGGCGCCACGGTAGGGTGCGATTTTTCTCTTTATACGGTATATAAAAATAATAAAAGTGAATTGCCGTAACACCGTTCACACGATCGCCATGAAACTTTAGGAAGTTGTTGACAATATGCCTGGGGAGGTTTCTGCAAAAAAAAAATATTTCAAATTCGCAGGGGTGGCGCCCCGACACGGCGCGATTTGTTTTTTTCTATATACGGTGTATAAAAATAAAAGTAGATTTTGATTCGGCATTGTTCATCCGATAGCCATGAGACTTTAGGGAGTTCATTATATCACTCTAGGGAAGGGCTCTGTCAAAAATAATTTTTAATTTCGCAAAGGGCGGCGCCACGGGAGGGTCCGATTTTTCTCTATATACGGTATAAAAAAATAATAAAAGTGAATTGCAGTGACACCGTTAATCCGATAGGCATGATAGTTTGGGGAGTTCATTATAAAGCTCTAGGGAAGGGTTCTGTAAAAAATCATTTTTAATTTCGCAAGGGCGGCACAACGGGAGGATGCGATTTTTCTCTATATACGGTTTATAAAATTTTAGTTTCACACCGTTCATCCGTGTACCATGAAACTTTGGGGAGATGATTAGATCACTCAATGGTAGGGTTCTGCAAAAAAAAAAATTGTTTAATATTGCAAGGGCGGCGCCCCCAGGGGGAGCGATTTTTTTCTCTTTACACGGTATATAAAAAATAAAACTCGGATGCAGTTCATGTTAGTTTTAAGGAGCCAGGGGTCGTACGCCGCGCCTATGCGGTAGTGTAATCAGGGGTTGGGGGCCCTGGTAGCGCCTCTCTACGTCTCTGACACATAGGCGGTCACCGAAGTGTCTTCTACCATATTATTTCTGTGAGTAATTAATGTACACTCGAGGTTTTCATGCGGTAGTGTAGGTAAACCCGTGTCCTGATATTTATGATCCAAGAACAGGCATTGTTTACATTTAAATAACTCATTTTTAGAAAAGAAGGTCACGCATCTAAGAACATATAATTATAATTGATAACGCGTTGGTGAAATCCTAATATATTTTGTCAAACTTTCTTCTATCCCCGCGGCAACGCGCGGGGGTCGGGTACGCTAGTATATATATAAATATATATATATATATATATATATATATATATATATATATATATATATATATATATATATTTATATATTTATAAATTGTATGTGGATGGGTGTGAGTGTGTGGTGTTTTGCTAGATGATAATGTTGCTGTAGATAATAACATAATAGCAAACGTTTTCCTTGTGTAAAAACACTTGTTTTCAACTGATATTTAAAATAAATATTCGTTGTATTGTTTACTCCAGTCAAAATGTGCCAACATGAACAATGGCGTTTTAGTGGACATGACAAAGGCTGGAATAGATGTCAGCAGAACCTTGTGTGATACCGAGACTGACGTTGTAGGATGGATTGTCATTCAGGTTGTTTTGTCATTTAAATTACTCTAAGCCATTTACCAATGTGTTCTTTTCCGATATTTTATTTTAACAGTTTCGATGTAATTATTCCATTAAAAACACACGTATGATACATAATGTTGACGTTTATATGCGATCTAAAGAAAAAAAATTCTAATAGTTAAACGACATACGCAGTATTTGTCTATTTGAAATAACAAAGACTCTAATAAGTTATATTGACGTCAAAAGACACCAGCTCTAGTTTTGTTATAGTTCTGGCAGACCGTTGGTCAGTATTCTAATTGGTTGACCTTAAGTCAGGTTATAAGTACACATCAGAGTTTTTAACATAACTCAGTATTTTAGTGGCTATTGGTGGGAAGGTGAATCGTGGTCTTGTTTATTTTGTTTTCCTTCATAAAGGTATGGATTTTTAAATCAAATAGAAAAATTCATAGTTTGTTATAAACAATTATAACATTATGTGTACATTAATTTTATTTTGAAGATTTTGATTGTGCATGAATATCTTTTGTGTTGTATGTATACAATTTAAGATTTATTTGGTTTCGAGTTAGAACAAAAGCAAACGTTATAGCTCGTGTTTTATCTCGTGATCCTTGTAGCTGTATAATTTAAAGAGTGTTGGAAATATTTAGAGAGTTAATGTGAAGACTATTAGTTTTTATAAAGTAATAACTGCTTTGATTTTATGTAATGTGTTTGCTGTATGATATAACTAAAAACTTAATTAATTTCAAAGATAATTAAGCCTTAAAATAAATCAAATGAACTTATTTTACCGTGGTTTTACCACTGCAATTATTTCATTCAGAAGCTTTTAAATTTCTTAAATATTTTCATTTATATTAGCACTTGCGTAAATTAAAATATAATTAATCTTAGGAATCAATGAGATCAACTTGCTTAAACTTTATTTTAGCATTGTCGTTATCTCTTACAGAGACGTATCAAAGGTGATGTGAACTTTACTAGAAATTGGAACGATTATAAAAACGGATTTGGCTCAAATTCTGGAGACTTCTGGATAGGGAATGACGTCATTCATCAGCTAACAAATTTAGTAAGAACATCAGAAATCTAGAACCTCTTTTAATTTTTGTCATAACAAAATTTAAGGAAAATATCTTTTTGTGCACCCTACTGTTATTAAGTTTCACCTTGTGTGTCTAAAACACAAGTTAGTATAGACTTTCCACGCCCACAAGTTTATATTTTCCCAAACTTTTAAGTCAGGTAGACTTATTAGAATCCCAAAATACCATTTTATTCTTACGTTTTTTTCTTTAAAATTTAACAAAATGATAGCATTGTTTCGAAATAAATCAGAATGCAATTTTATAATTCGTCCTGAAACTCATATGTATATTATACAAAAAGTAAAGAAGAATTTTACCAGTTAAATGAAATGTTAGTGCTTACAGGATGTAAACCGTACATGATGAGGTGAAGAGGGGGGAGGTGTACGTATGTCCCCGGGCGCCGACCAGATGGGGGCCAAATTGGGTTGGCAAAAAATATAAAGCTTATTTTAGGATCAGTTTTGAATTATAAACAAGTCAAGAAATTTAAGGGCTACGAGCCTTTACATACTATTTTCTTCTTTGACCTTGTAACTGCAAAAGAAATACATTTAAGGAATATTAGCAGCGAAGAGGCGTAGCTATAATTTACACTAGGGAACAAACTACTAAATTGGTGGCGCCCCAGCCCACACCCCGTTTAATCACATTTTCTATTACATTAAATAAGGTAAACATTTTAAATTTTAAGAAGATATTGTATTTAAAGAAGAAAATTGATAGAAATTATACTACATGATCAACTCAGTCAATGTCGTATACTGATTGACATAGTCTACAAAAGATTTATTTTTCTTGATTTCACTGTCGCAAACTGGTCAATTACGCAATCAAAATTTATTTTTTCCAATGTTTCTCTTTCAACGCTATAAAGAGCAAGATCACTGAGACGATCTTGACCCATTGACGCACGTAAATGCGAAAAAAAAGTTTTAACTGGCTGAACGACCGCTCGCAGCTTGCCATTGAAATTGTTATCTGACGACATACCTCTAGCCGTCTGTCGGGCACAATGTCATGACAATCCTGCTGTGATGACTGGGCATATATCGAGTCTTCAATGACGAATGTGTGACAGAAATCAGAGAGCATTATTTGTCAACTGTGGTAACCACAGCTTAAACTTAGCAGGAGGCAGAGGCGTAGTGACCCTTCCCTGCGCCCGGGAACAAAATTTTTGATTTGCAACCCCCTCAAGATTTCGATTTGCACCCCCCCCCCCCCCCTCAAACTTTCGATATGCACCACCCTCAACCTTTCAATTTATTTTTCCAACCCATTTTGGCGCCTCCTAAGGTCTGCGGCCGGGGAGATATGTACCCCTCCGCCCCCCCCCCCCCTCGCTACGCTACTAAATCCCGAGTTGCCATCCCCGTAGTCGTATATAACAGGGGTCTCCAAACTAAGGCCCGCGGGCCGGATGCGGCCCGCGATGTCCTCTCATCCGGCCCGCGGAGATCTTTTTGTCCACGGGAAAAAACGTTTGTTGGTGATGGCTGAGGAAATTTGCCCAGAAAAATCAATGACAAGCATGGAAGAAACTGGCCCCCGAACTGAAATTTGATAGTTAATGCGGCCCTCGGACTGAAAAGTTTGGAGACCCCTGGTATATAAGAATACGAGCCGACCTGCGGTATATTATACGCCGATATTTAGTTGTTTTTTATTCTACTTTTCAGTAATTCATAATTTGTGAATTCGACAGTACCAACGCTGCCACTAAAAATATTTCTTTAAAACAATATAAGTAGCTCGTTAAGGACGATAACCCCCCCCCCCCCTCCGTAAAAGAAAACACCACTTAGTTACACCCCCCCTCCCCCTTCGTTTAAAATCGTTTCAAACTAAATTATCTGCCCCTAATAGTCGTCACTAAACCCGGCTCTGCTTGTAAACATTTAGCTTGAACCACAGCTCAACAGACCATGTAGGGGTGGGGGTGGTAGGGAGCGCGCTTTTAGCTTGTTTTCTAAAGTCTCCCAGAAGAGAATTATATATATAGATTTGAGGAAATTTAGGGGAGATCACTAGTGATTTATTCTTTCTTTGGGTTATAAGCTTTTGTTCAGGTTATGGGGGTTGAAGAGAACTTCTTGTTGCAAAGAACAGGTTTTAGAGCGATATTTTATCAAGATCGCAATATGAGAGCACCTGTTATCTGATTTCAATCTTGGTTTTTTCATTTTGCTTTGCAATTGGTCTTAAATAAAAATGTCCGTTTAACATGTAACAGTTGACATCATTTTATTTGCGTTATTGTCACAACTATATACACTTTTCCATGTTTCTACATTCAAATATGCCTTTATTTTGTTTAGATTCTCCATATATCGCTGGAGAAATTGATATAATAGCCTAGGAAATATGTTGCTGTCAGAGACAGAGAGAGAGAGAGAGAAGTGCTCACATGGCCTTTATATACTAAAATATGATAACTGAATTGTACATTACATTTTAAAAAAATTAAATTTAAAAAAATTCTTTTATCACATTAGCTCACCTAATCAGTTTTTTTGTGTTAAGCGTAATTTGTTATGTTACATGAGTCTTGACAAAGCCAAGGATAGAATCCTAATCTATAAAACCCCACGTTCGCACATCTCTCTCTCTCTCTCTCTCTCTCTCTCTCTGTCTGTCCGCAAAATATTTTCGCCGGACATCACGTCAGAATCGGCAGCGATATATGAAGAACTTTTTAAAGACTTTTGTTGAAAATAATATGTTAGATGTTTTAAATGTATAACCACAATTTTATTTAAAGAAGAAAAATAAAAAATAAAGGCGTATTCGAATATAGAGAAACAGTATTATTTATGCAACCGGAAAAGTGTATAAACTTGGGGCAAGAACGCATTTAACAATGACGTCGCTTATTGTTTACACTAAAACACTAAAACAAGAGCACGAAACTGATGACGTCATCTTCCGAGTTTACAATTTTAAAAAATGAACTATTTCATTCAAATATGATTTAGAGCTAGATCTATGTACGCTATGAAATGTATACAATACGATTTTCTCGGCCTAAACTTAAAAAAAAATATTTTATCTATTTGGATTCTAGATCTAGAGATTCTAGATCTAGATATTGATCTAGATGTTCTAGATCATCTAGATCTAGATGATCTATAAAGCTAAGTTGTCGGGTGCCCGATAGGGCACTTCCCGGCGCCGCAGGCGCTTCAAATTTGGCAGGATCTTGCCTTGGGGCGACAGAACACGGGGGCCGGTTGGCCGAAAAGTCTACGATGAGGGGGTCAAAACTGACCTCGACTGACCGGCGCCTTATATGGGCGAATTAATTAAGCATTCAAATTCTCAATGTTTTCGAAAGCCTAAGCGAAGCTGGGCAGCATGCCTAGTATTACATATCTCGCCTGCCTACCCTCTTTAATTATTCTCAAGTCATCCTTACTGGTTAAGTAAGAGAAGTATAATGTCCTACAATTGGCAAAGTCAGACGTGTGTTTAATCTAGATATTTCTAGAAAATATATTGATGTATTCTATCAATGGCGGAACGAGAAAAAAAGGATCTCTGGCAAAAAAAATTGCGTAGTCTGCCTCAACAAATTTGATATTATCTATTTTATGAGTAATTTAACCTCTTTCATTGTGATGTATGTGTTATGTTCATTTTTATGACTTTTTAAATTTATACTATTAGTTTTTAAGTTATTTCATATTTTATAGCTAAACTATTCTTTGGTATGCCTTCTTTAAAAAAAATAAAATGAGATAGTCAATCGTCTTTTAATTTGCATTGTACAAAACTGTTCAAATAAGCTTTATAATCAGCCCTATTTTAACGAAGGGCAGTAAGGCATCAAAGTAGTTTAATGGGAAATGCGCGGACAAAAATCATAAAATTTCTTGTTTTTCGTCATGATGGGTTTCTTGCACTTTTGGATACTTTGTCCATTTTTGTATAAAGAAAATAATAACTTTAAAGAGAAAAAAATTTGTATGTGTTTGAATTACAATTTTTATGAGCCTATTAATTAACAAAAATCAATTTTTTTCCAATCTTACAAGCTCTCTATGAAAAGTTTTATATCCGTATTATATTGTATTTGACATCATTTGAAAGCTTGATTTCTCATGTATAAATAAACTTAATTTCCTACATCTCGGAAACACCCAAAGCTTTCAATCGGCTTTGCAGTTTACACAGATATGGTACTTTCCTGACCTAGTTTTCGTCACTTTTGGCTGTTTTTCTCAGTTCGCAGGTTTTTAACACTAAAAAGCCTACTACTTTTTTATTTATTAAACAATGCCGACCATATTTTCAGTAAATGTTCTTGATGTGAAAATACAACTTTTTCCACAACTGAATTGTGATTGCTTTCATAGGAAAAAAGTGTTTGGTAATTAATATGCACATTTTGAAACTTTTGAATGTTAAAAAGGGTGCGATTTTTTTAGAGATTGTAAAATTCTTACTAGTACGAGAAAAATGGCCCGTTGAGGAAGGATACAACGGGCGCTAGGCTGATAGTGCTGTCTCTTTTCTCTAAACTAAAACCACCCTACCCCCCCCCCCCCCCCCCCCCACACACACACCACCTCCCCCCCCGAACCCCCCCCCCCCAAAAAAAACATGTCTACCGTCCCATTCAACGAAATATAATTATATACTTTTTCCAGTGTCCGCCCCCTCCCCGAAAATTCTACCAACGCCACCGAAAATTTCAAGTACCCCCCACCCCTCTCCGGGGAGGAAAAAGTCTAAACTAAAACCACCCCACCCCCCCCCCCCCCCACACACACCACCCCCACCCCTCCACACACCACCCACCCCCCCCCCCCCCAATTAAAAAAATGTCTACCGTCCCATTCAACGAAATATAATTAAATACTTTTTCCAGTGTCCGCCCCCTCCCCGAAAATTCTACCCCCGTCCCCGAAACTTTCAAGTACCTCCACCCCTCTCCGGGGAGGAAAAAGTCTGAAAGAAACACTGGTGTCGCGCTTAGCCACTACCCGAAAAATTGCATTAAAGAAATTGCAAGAAAACCACTTTTTAGATTAGACACATTAATTATGCGGTACTTTTATTATAGAGTATCGATGAAGAAATTTCTTTTGAGTTGGGGAGGGGGGCTCAGATGTTCTTAAGCGGGGGTGGGGCTTCGCCCCTACCCGAAGAATTGTGTGCAAGAAACTCTTCACAGCAAACCATTTAGATTAGACAAAATTGCCTTTGTATTCCATGTTTACTCGAGAATCAATGACGTCATATTACTGTGTGCACTCTCCGGCTTAGAGATTATTTTCTACTATATGACGTCATATTTCGCCAGCCGCTTTACTGTGAAGCTTTTTAATTTCCTTGTGTTTTCTCTAGAGCGTTCTTGTCAGACAGATAGATAGATAGATAGATAGATAGATAGATAGATAGATAGATAGATAGATAGATAGATAGATAGATAGATAGATAGATAGATAGATAGATAGATAGATAGATAGATAGATAGATAGATAGATAGATAGATAGATAGATAGATAGATAGATAGATAGATAGATAGATAGATAGATAGATAGATAGATAGATAGATAGATAGATAGATAGATAGATAGATAGATAGATAGATAGATACATAGATACACAGACAGCGAAACTATTAGTATTAATTTATTTAAAAGATGTCGTGACATAAGTTTTAATATATACTGAAATATAAGCAGTTTAAATTTGATTGCTATAGATGCATAATAAAAAAAAGCCTTAGCATTTTTAAAAGTACCGAAAAATTTAATTTAAATTGGAGGAGGTTTTTTGGTTTCCATGACAACCAAAATTGTTTTCGACCCTTTTTTTTGCTGTTTCATACTTACTTTTATATGCCAAATATGATTAAAGTATTCAAAAGGCTTTAGATCTTAATCTGTAAAAAAATAGAAAAAAACATAGCATATCCCCTTAAGTAGATTTTAAAATATTTTTTCCACTCAGCAGTATTTGGTAGTTATTCTATAACCATGACAGCTATGGTAGACCTTTTTGATGTTTCTCAAAAGCAACATCATGGTGCACGCAAAAAAATATTTTGGAAAAAAAATTGTTTTGGTCAGAATTTGGCCCCTAAAACAGGAACGAACGGAATAGGTCAGGGGTCGGCAACCTTTTGAGACGGAAGAGCCAAAAGATTCAATTTACAAAATGTTCCAGTTTTTAAAAGGCCACAAACATTTTTATTTCAATATTATGATATATATATATATATATATATATATATATATATATATATATATATATATATATATATATATATATATATATATGAATATTATGACCCGAAGATCGTCAGCACTCCAAATGCTAACTTTTTTAATTCATTGTAGTATCCTGGGAAATATTTAATGCGTCACATAAACATATTGTTTATATTTATTATTATATCGCTTATCACCGAATGTTGCAGAACAATATTTTTAAGAGTTTCAAAAACAAATTATAACTATTAATATTTGTGCATGGTGCTGAAGAGCCGCATCTTGACATCAAAAGAGCTGCATACGGCTCGCGAGCGCAGGTTGCCGACCCCTGGAATAGGGTAACAAGTAAAACCAAAATTCACCACTATTCTTCCCTTCACTCGCTAATTACATAAGTAAATTGAATAAAAATGATATTTCTCGTAAGGGAATAGATTGCTAAGCTGAAACATAAGCAGGAAATAGAGAGTGTTATATAATCTTTTTGAACAGAAGTCGTTTGTTGTAATAATGTGATAAATGAAGGCTTACCGAATTAAGTGTATCCAATATTTTTACTTTATAAAAAAAAGTTTTTCCAAGCATATTATAAATATCAATTACTGCGCAGCCAATCATTATTTGCATAAGTGGTAAATTTGTTTTAGAAAATGTCGTGTATTATTTATAGATTTTTGTCACGTTTTAGCAAAAGTTTTAATATGTATATTTATCATATAGGCTAATATTAGCAGATTAATACTTAAAATAATTCAAACACAATGCAATATCTAAATATTTCTAATTTTTTGTCTTCCACAGGGTTATAATGAACTCAGATTTGACATGAAGTATAAAGATAAAGACTACTACGCTGTGTACAGAGGTTTTAAGGTAGGAAATGAAGCCGCAAAGTATAAGATGAGCCTCACGTCATTCAGTGGTGGGAATGCTAAAGACGATTTTAATTATCACAAAGACTTGAAGTTTACAACCATTGACTCTGATAACGATGCAGACAATGGAAACTGTGCTGTAGAGAGGAGAGGTGGTTGGTGGTATTATCATTGTCACACTGTTAACGTCAACGGTGAATGGGCGAGTCGTGCTGAATGTAAAGGAATTTATTGGAGTAGGATTACAACTTTGTCTGACTCTCTAGATTTTGTTGAGATGAAACTTCGTCGAATGTAAACAACCCGAAAACAATGCTATGGTAAAATAATGGATAAACAGTAAACAAATTATTTATATAATCTTCAGGAACATAAACAACATTTCATATATTAAAATAATTAGATGTAAACATTTAACTAAGGCAATATTTTCTTGATGGTGAGTATACATAAGAAGTTTAAAATTCACGAACATTAAACCAAACATTTTATTTAAAAAAAAATGATTTTAAAAACTACAACAGTTTGTTTTGCTATTATGATGTAATAAAGCCAAGTATACACTCATCTAGAATTGAAATTCCTCATAGATTGACTGTGCGTGTAATAGCCATTAAAACAGGGAAAAAACAGACTATGTTGTTGTCATTTATTTCTTGCATATTCATAGACTAGTAGTGTAGTTGTAATCTACCACTATATCTTTAATCAGACATTCACTCGGATCGTGTGAAGTTCAACTCTAATAACGTGTGTAATATTTGTTCACTTTTATCCATATTTTTTCGCATAGTTTTTCGAAAGATATATGCCATCCAAAATCATATAAAGTAGATAGTAACTGTTAATTTGGGATCTGTAAAACTTTGTATTTGAAATGTGAACATTATGCGGTCATATAGTAGAATAAAAATAGATTAATTTAGTAAATCCTATGTTTAAGTAGTTAATATTTTATCTAGTGTATCTCATATCGAGCATGTTTGTTTATTTAGAAATCTCTACTATCACATAAGTATATATTAGTAGAAAATAAAAGTTTAATTCTGAACATTTTTTTTTATTATCGAGATTGGATTATTCATTTATTATCGTTTTCAAGGTATATAACCATACTCTCACAAATCAAGTCGGTAATTTTAATTGTTATCTCCCGTGAAAAATTTAGTGTCGTTTGTGTTCCATGCCATAGGCTAGAGAAATTTCCAATTACCTAATTTTATAATTGTATTTGTTTAGTGTATTTACATGGACACAATTAATGCAAAGCAATTATAAGCATTTATATACATCTTTATTATAAATTCCACTTAATTTTTATATCAAGCCTCCCTTTGTGTAGGTTAAGGAATTGTTTGGTTTATATATTTACAAAATACATCCGTTTATACAACTTATGGTTAATGTGTTATTTCATATGTTTTGTTTTTTTCGTTTGTTTTTTGAACACATAATAAAATCTTCGGAATTTTCAAACATAAAAACTGTCGTTATTTTTTAATGTGTTGAAGGCAATGAGGACCAAGGCTAATTGTTGTGCGTAAATGAGTCCACACAGCTACGATGGTACTTTACTCACGTAAATTAGTCCACACAGCTACGATGGTACTTACTCACGTAAATGAGTCCACACAGCTACGATGGTACTTTACTCACGTTATGGAACATTGACCACGTTTTTCCTACTCATGTCGAGATTACAAAAACATGTGAACTCTATATAATTGTACTGATATTAATTTGTGATCCTAGGATAAATCAATAACTTTATTAACTTAATGTTTCCATTTCTATCAGCATTTTGTCATACAAGATACAACAGCTGATGTGATCTGTAAATCCTGTAAGCTTGTCAGTTCCTCTAACGTGAATGTTTTCAATACAGGTCAGACCTTCCGACACCAGACCACTGCTGACAAGATTTTACCTTAATGTTATTTTTGGTATTAGCTCGAGTATTAGCTTTATTTTTTTTATCTCTGGTCCTAGCTAAAAGTTGCTTTTATCATCGTGCTTTATTACTTTTTAGAATTCCCTTTAACAAGTTAGATGGTATATAATGAGCTTAAAACGGTAATGCTCGTGTGTTAGAAATGATAGATTGGCTTGTATTCTGAAGGCGTGTGTATGTGTGTGTTCCCAGAGTATTGCTGCCATCAAAGACATTTGCAGGCTGTCACGGTAGGGGGTGCGTGACTGGGTAAAATGGGATACAAAGTTCTATACGGCGTCAAACGAACAGACAAGGGGAGGCTACTAGAGAAATATTTGTGGCACAGCTTAGATGTAAGCTCCTCAAGGCGATAGCTTTCTGGTCTAAATCTGACGAATCTACCCGTTTGAATTTAGTTATGAAAGATGTACATATTTACAAATAAACACACCACACACACACACACACACACACACACACACACACACACACACACACACACATATATATATATATATATATATATATATATATATATATATATATATATATATATATATATATATATATATAATGTAAACATATTCACATAAATAAAATAAAATAATAAATAAAGATTTTAATATTCTGGCGCATTTAGGGCAAGGTTGTTGTTTTTTTTTTTTTTACAAATAATGCCAACATTATGTGTATTTGCTTGAAGATAAAGGAAATTAACAGAATTGTTTTTTAAATCTGCATTCTGCATCCTGTGTAAGCTGTCAGTTAACTATATTGTTCGATTTATGTTGTTGCTTGCGTATTCAATATAATTTTTTTTAGAGTTTTAAATGTCGGTAATACATTTTAAGAATATCTTTAAAATTTAATTTCAGGTGTTCTAAAATTTATGAGATTCTTCAGAACAACACAACATCTTTATAATTTTTGAAATTGTAATTCAGTAAAATGTAAATGCTTACCTAAGAAGCGAACATACAGTAAAACTACTTTTGTATAATAGCACATCGTCTTTCCCTTTTGTGTAATATTACTTAAGTATCAAGGCCTAGTGGCTTCGCTAGGTCGGGTGTCACCCGGTACAGTACCTTATGGTGTCAACCCCCCATCCCAACACCCGAAAATAACTTATGTTTCCCATTTTGCCTAATGGCTTCTATTGATGGGTACAGGCCACCTATTAGTTCATGTGCAGAAAGCATCGTCATTACATCTTATGTGTCAGTAGGTTAAAGCACACATCTGCAAACACAAGTTCGAATCACAGGTTCATGTCAATAGAACATCCTTGAGTACACCCAGCCCTGGCGGGTACCTACTAATGTTATGGAAGTAAAGAGGCTGGGCATAGTGCTGGACACGCGATCCCTTATAGACTGAGGTCATTAAAATTGGCTAATTCTACTAAGCTTGACACATGGAACGTCAGTCTTGCAAAAAGGTTTACAAAAATCGGAGATAAAATTCGGGACTTAAATCTATAAAGCACATTAAAAGGCAACTGTAAGAGACCAACGTACTAGGATTGGTTTGGAAGTTGGGGGTGGAAGCTGCTAAATGAAAGATACCGTCCAGTTGATTAAAACTTCCAGCTTGTCGAGTACAAAGGTGTTATATAACACGGGTGTTACAGTTTAGTGGGGCGTTAAAATGAATATATCCTAAAGATTATTACATAGGTTACTATATTTTCCATATTGCGATAGATATTAACATATACAATATATTAGTACATATAAAAGTACATATAACAGTTTAGTTACCAAAAGAAAGTTTTCAATTACGTCCACATGAAGCCATACATGTTATCCCTCTACAAGATGTCAAGTGTTTACAATAACTATATCCGTGGAGTATAAGTGCTGTATTAAAATAATATAGTTTGCTTATATTTTGGTAAGCGCCGTAACACCAAATATCACGTGTAAGGGGGGGGTGGGGGTCTGGAGAAAGTAAAGTGACTGGACTATAGCGTCCCTAACCTGCAGGTCACCTGAGTCAAGCTCCGCTCTCGTGACTGCAGTCCGAGGTCAAGGACCGTGGTAGGGCAGAGCTGATAATTCCGCTGCTCACTGTTCATGAAGTTAATGTTAGCCTAAGTTCTCTTAAACCGTCTACAACAGCTTCGTTTGATGACATCTCTAATAAATTATTGACGATTTCAGTTCCAATAATCTCTGAAGTTTTAACCTATATCTATAACCTCTGTATTGCCAAGCAATATTACCCTAAACATTTTAAGCATGCTAAGGTTATACCTCGTCACAAAAAAGGTAACATCAAAGATGCTAACAACTACAGGCCAATTTCTATACTTTCTTCTCTCTCCAAGCCACTAGAATTATATATAAATAAATGCATGTCAAACTACCTAGAAAGGCATAAGCTTTTCCATAGTAATCAGTCTGGGTTTAGAAAGTTTCATTCATGTCACACTGCTTTGATTAAAATGAATGAAAACTGGCTTAAAAATATTAACAAAAACCTACTTTCTGGCACGCTTTTTTTCGATTTCAGAAAAGACTTTGATTCTATTGATCACAGCATACTTCTTAAAAAAACTATTTCCTTACAAATTCCACGAATTTACAGTTAGGTTACTTCACTCCTTTTTATCTAACAGATCTCAATGCGTGTTTCACCTTAATACCATCTCTTCACTGAAATATGTTAATATACGGGTTCACCACGGCTCAATCTTAGGTCCTTTACTTTGTTTCATTATACATTAATGATCTTGCATTACACATCGACGCAGGTCAGTGCGAGATGGTCACTGATGATACTTTGTTACATGTCTTTGCAGACAGTGCTGACTCACTTTCAAACTTCAAACATGTGCCAATCAGCTTGCTACTTGGATAAATTTTAACAAAATGAAACTTCACCCCGATAAATCCAAGTCCATGATTATTACAACTCATCAGAATCGCCTTTTCAACTTTCCACCTCATTACGCATTACTATAGACAATTCAAACATTGAACAGGTTGATAGTTACAAATGCCTAGGATTGGTTATAGATCACAATCTCACTTGGGCCGGTCATTTCCATCCTCTAAAAATGTCCCTATTAAAGACAAATTTTCAACTAGCAAGGATAAAGAACTTTCTGGACTATAGGAGCAGGCTGTAGTGTGGAGTGGCAGCTTTATAACTAAGCAGCGTCCTCTAATATCACTACAAAAAGGGCTATGCAACTGGTTACTGGCTTGTCTAGTAGCCTTGATTCTTTTATTTAAACTAATATACTTCCATTAAATAAAAAGATTATATATACTAAAGCAATTTTTTTATATAAAATATTCCACGAAACACCCCTCCACCCTCTTACTTATCAGACATATTTTCTTTTATAATTAAATTAAATCGTCGTCTTAATTTAACGTTCCCATATACAACTTTTTTCCCAAAAACATAGCTTCGCCTACTCTGGTTCTAATTTGTGGAATAATCTTCCTGATAAAATAAAGCTATCTAGATCTGAAAATATATTCAAATCTAAACTAAAACAACAATTATTTAATGACCTCTCTAACTGACTTGTTGAAACATTTCTCATTCATCTATTGTATTTTTATTTTATCTCATCTTGTATTATAACTATGTAATATTATTTCTTTATCCCACATTTTTAGTGTTATGTTACTGCTATTACTGTGCTATTGTTTTTTTTTAAATGCTGTTATTAAATTGTTGTTTTTATTTTTTTATTTAAAAACGGCCAATTTGAAAAAGGGCCTCCGTGCCTACAATTGTTACCGTAATTAAATAAATAAATATATAAATGAATAAATAAAAAAATAGATGTTGCATGAGCAACAAGTTGGCTTTTTAGGTAATAGATCGTGAAACAAACTGGTTTCAGAGGGAATAGATAGTACAACGAGAAAATTTGTTTTGCTAAACATAGTAGAACCGTCAGTAGAATGGAACTCCTCTAAATATCTTATTACATAGATTTTGAAAAAGCTTCTGATGACATCCAGCATCTATTACCATGGAAGACATTCGAGTTATATGGCATGCTAGAAAGTGTCATCAATCTGCTAAACGGCTTGTATGAAGATAACCAATGATATGTGTACCATGAACATCAGCAAAGCGAATGGTTCATAGTCAGAACTGGAGTCGTACAAGAAAGTGTCATACCACCTGTCATACCACCTGTCATACCACCTGTCATACCACCTGTCATATCACCTTTCATACCACCTGTCATACCACCTGTCATACCACCTGTCATACCACCTGTCATACGACCTGTCATACCACCTGTCATACCACCTGTCATACCATCTGTCATACCCCCTGTCATACCACCTGTCATACCACCTGTCATACCCCCTGTCATTCCACCTGTCATACCACCTGTTATACGACCTGTCATACCACCTGTCATACCACCTGTCATACCACCTGTCATACCCCCTGTCATACCACCTGTCATACCACCTGTCATACCACCTGTCATACCACCTGTTATACCACCTGTCATACCACCTGTCATACCACCTGTCATACCACCTGTCATACCACCTGTCATACCACCTGTCATACCACCTGTCATACCACCTGTCATACCACCTGTCATACCACCTGTCATACCACCTGTCATACCACCTGTCATACCACCTGTCATACCACCTGTCATACCACCTGTCATACCACCTGTCATACCACCTGTCATACCACCTGTCATACCACCTGCCATACCACCTGTCATACCACCTGTCATACCACCTGTCATACCACCTGTCATACCACCTGTCATACCACCTGTCATACCAACTGTCATACCACCTGTCATACCACCTGTCATACCACCTGTCATACCACCTGTCATACCACCTGTCATACCAACTGTCATACCACCTGTCATACCACCTGTCATACCACCTGTCATACCACCTGTCATACCACCTGTCATACCACCTGTCATACCACCTGTCATACCACCTGTCATACCACCTGTCATACCACCTGTCATACCACCTGTCATACCCCCTGTCATACCACCTGTCATACCACCTGTCATACCACCTGTCATACCACCTGTTATACCACCTGTCATACCACCTGTCATACCACCTGTCATACCCCCTGTCACCTTCTTGGTGGCTGTAGATTGGGCTGTGAGAGAAGCTACTGAAAAATGGCCAAGAGAAATTGCAGGGGAGGTTATCAACCAACTGGAAGACGCCTGATGACTTGACTGATGACTTGCTTGATGACTTGGCTGATGACTTGGCTCTACTGTCACATGCCCAAAAATAGAGAAAACGTCCATGATCGAAGTAATGGCCAAATGTAAAAGTCTTGGGCTAAACATCAACCCTGGGTGGACCCCCCCCCCCTTCGCTTGTCTACGCCACTGGGTTCCGGACACTTTATCGACGACAGCCGAGGTTCTATTTCAAACAGTTGACAGATTACTCAGTCGTCTCAATCGTCTTACTAAACAATATTCTAGCAGCCTACTCAATCGTCTCACAACACAATAGGCCTACTCTAGCAGCCTACTCAATCGACTCACAACACAATACTGTAGCAGCCTACTCAATCGTCTCACTACACATTATTTTATCGGCCTACACAATCGTCTCACAACACAATACTCTAGCAGCCTACTCAATCGTCTCACAACACAATACTCTAGCAGCCTACTCAATCGTCTCACAACACAATACTCTAGCAGCCTACTCAATCGTCTCACAACACAATACTCTAGCAGCCTACTCAATCGTCTCACAACACAATACTCTAGCAGCCTACTCAATCGTCTCACAACACAATACTCTAGCAGCCTACTCAATCGTCTCACAACTCAATACTCTAGCAGCCTACTCAATCGTCTCACAACACAATACTCTAGCAGTCTACTCAATCGTCTCACAACACAATACTCTAGCAGCCTACTCAATCGTCTCACAACACAATACTCTAGCAGCCTACTCAATCGTTTCAAAACACAATACTCTAGCAGCCTACTCAATCGTCTCACAACACAATACTCTAGCAGCCTACTCAATCGTCTCACAACACAATACTCTAGCAACCTACGCAATCGTCTTACAACACAATACTCTAGCAGCCTACTCAATCGTCTGACAACACAATACTCTAGCAGCCTACTCAATCGTCTCACAACACAATACTCTAGCAGCCTACTCAATCGTCTCACAACACAATACTCTAGCAGCCTACTCAATCGTCTCACAACACAATACTCTAGCAGTCTACTCAATCGTCTCACAACACAATACTCTAGCAGCCTACTCAATCGTCTCACAACACAATACTCTAGCAGCCTATTCAATCGTTTCAAAACACAATACTCTAGCAGCCTACTCAATCGTCTCACAACACAATACTCTAGCAGCCTACTCAATCGTCTCACAACACAATACTCTAGCAACCTACGCAATCGTCTTACAACACAATACTCTAGCAGCCTACTCAATCGTCTCACAACACAATACTCTAGCAGCCTACTCAATCGTCTCACAACACAATACTCTAGCAGCCTACTCAATCGTCTCACAACTCAATACTCTAGCAGCCTACTCAATCGTCTCACAACACAATACTCTAGCAGCCTACTCAATCGTCTCACAACACAATACTCTGTACGTGTAAAGCAGAGAGACGTAAACAATAGCCAGTCACGTGACCTACACCGGATCAGGCTAGTGAATACGTCGTGCTTTGGTTGCCTCACGTCTGCTGACAACTGCTTGGTACACCGTGCGTGGCGCTGAGTACAAGAAACACGGTGATCACGTGTTGCACTAGGTGGTCGCAGCTTTTACTGTCTTCATCTTGCAGAAGACTTGTACATCTGATTTCACTTGGTTTCATGGGATTTCACAAGATTTAATGTGATTTCATGGGATTTCATGTGATTTAAAGGGATTTACTGGGATTTCAATCAGCAAGCCGTCAACTACGTGAGTAAGGCACGTAATCTATGAGAACAAGACACATGATCTAGCACACCAGACAGACTGCTACAAGACACGTGATCTAGCACCCCAGACACACTGCCACAAGACAGTCGAAGTGAAATGGCGCACGGTGATTACGTGCAGCGGTTGGTGAGTTGCTTCCGTCTGCTGGTGCTGGCTGTGTGTGGGTTTATCGTGGCGTTCAGCAGTCCGGCGTGGTCAGCCTTGAATGCCTTCTACACCTACGTCTACACGGGGCTGTGGTCGTGCAAGGACTACGTGTGGTGCTCAAAGAACCTGCTTGGTAAGCTGCTTTTTGGTGTACGCAACACACGTGCTTAAGGTGTGCATTGGTATAAACAACTTGAATGTGTGTGTATTTTATCAATAGCACTACCAAGTACATGTGTACATGTCACGTGATGTAAACTTTAACCTCCCAACACACCCAGGGAACCCACTAACGACCCAATTTCTGGAAGTTGTTGCTCTGATTGCTGACGGCATATCTGTGGCAGCAGTGGTGTTTTCCTATTGCGTCCACGTCCGCAGGAACAGATTTCTCATCTACCAGAACTTGGCTCTCAGGCTTGCAGCAGTGGCGGCTACTGTGGGAGGTAAGATTTTATGGGGGGATGGGCAGTGTTTGAGGTAAGATGAAATGGGGGGAGGGGAAGGGCAATGTGTGAAGTAAGATTTGATGGGGGGGCAATGTGTGAAGTAAGATTTGATGGGGGGGGGGCAATGTGTGAAGTAAGATTTGATGGGGGCAGTGTGAGAGGTAATGAACACATTAACACATTAACACATGAACGCATGAACATATGAACAGCTTTACAATTGTTGTTGTCGCCCGTTATGTGTAAGATTGTACATTCCCGTTTGACTTGAATGTCAGTAATCATACAACATACATTCATGATTCAATGTTAGGCCTCAGTTGCCCCAGTAACATGCCTGGACTAATCCTGAAGTTATTACAGACCTTAACAAGACAAACATTGCGAACAAAAGAGCCATGACAATCTTTGAGAAGCCTTCAATTAGATGAACCAGTTATTTAGATTTCTACATTAACTCGTATAAAAGTTTGAAAACTATATAGTGCTTGATTTAATCCTAATCAAATGTTTTGTTAAACTTTACAGCAATATTGATTTAACCTGATTACGATTGTTTAATCTTAATTTCTTGTGTTTAGTTTAATCCTAATCCCGTGAATCTAATCACATGTGTCGTAGGTGTGCTGGGCGCTATACTCTACTCTATCTACACAAGCGACAGCCTGGCTTGGGCTTTCGTGTTGTCGTTTTTTGCATCTGTCGTCATCATGGTGAGCGGTGTTGGCCTGCTTGTCCTGGGCACAACCCGAGCTAAACAGACATTTAAACGGAATTTTGAGACTCTGATTTGCTGCACATTCCACACAAGTTTTTTTTATTAGCTTTTATTTAACTCGCTTTCTCGTACTTCCTCATAGTGCTTCGTCCATCCTGGTGTGTGAAATTTCGACCACTTCTAACGGACCAATTTAAAAAAAAAACTTAGAACGTAGATCAAGATCTGATAACAATGCAATGTGACAACAAAATTTGACTTAATGGAAATGTAATTAATTTTTAATTTTTAAATTAAAGTTTCTTGTATGCAATACTAATTGTACGCAATATAAAATGCACACATTTTTTTGTGTTTTTTTGCCATGCAATTTTATTGTATTAAAACTTTTAAAGTTTTGAATTTTAAAAAATAAAAACTCATTATTTTTACAAGCTTTTATTTAGCTAGTTACGTCTGTATGTTATTAATTTGTTTTTGGGTTTGTGGCAAATTTTGTAACTCAATTTCGACCCACTTCTAACGCAGATATTTCATTTAAACTTTCCAGATACGCTCCACTTCGAGGACAATACGAGTCTTTATATATATATATATGTAACTAGGTGTAGTTACCAGAGATGATAACAACGCAATAGTGCAGGTGTTGGACTGATAAGCCAACTGATAACGATCATAAAGCCACGGCGTAGTTTGGAAGGATACGACAAGCGCTATCAACTTTGACACGACTGTTGTAATAACGCAGGTGTTGGCTGATAACGATCAGAAAGCCAAGGCGTAGTATTTTGGGAAGCGATACGATAAGAACGCAATACGGTCTGTCAACTTTGATGTGACAGGATGCAGGTGGCTTATTAAATCGGACTGTACGACAGAAGCGGCGTAATGAACATTCTGATGCAACGATTAGAATCGATTACGATTACGATTACGATTATGATAGAACCGAATACGACTACGGATACGAGGGGGATATAAGGAAGGCGACGCCTCAGTCTCGCTCTCTCTCTCGATCAGTCAGTCTGTGTGGCAGTATCAAGTTGGTTATATTGTGTTAAGAAGGACGATAGACATGTGTATTCAGTTATATGAAGACTAGTGAGGACTGTTGGGAGTCAGTTGATTCAAACTATTATTGTGAAGCATTCCTTTTGATTCATTATATTATTGTGAAGCATTTCTTTGATTCATGTAATAAAAGGATCAATAGCGAACCTGCATCTTCGAGTATCTATACTGTGGTCGATGTTGTGTAGAATGAGTGGTTAGACTCGGTAACATTTGGCGTTGTCGAGCAGAACTCGTTAACATTTGGCACTACAGGCAAATAGTCTCGTTACATTTGGCCCTGCGAGCAGGGTAGTCATCGTTACATTTGGCGCTGCGGACAGGATGAGTCAGCTAGCCTAGGTCACATTTGGCGTCGTCGGACAGGATGAATTCAACTAGACTTGCCGTTTTAGGCACCCATAGTCAACCTAGTTCATAACTGTGTTTAGTGTGTGTGTGAGTTCGGACATTCAGGAACAGTGAAAATTGAGGAACGAGGAAAATTTTTCATACACACACGGTAAGAAAGGTCTTTCTTTATTTGAAGGAAATAAATAAAAGGGAAAACTGAAATCAGAATCGAGGAAATTGAAAAGAACAGAGATGAGACACCTTTCATTATCATTCTGGCTTGGTGTCACATGCTCTTTTGCTGCTGCAAGCATGTGGCTCAGTATACCCCTAGTTGTAGCACCAACTACCCTGGGGACAGCTATGGGGCTGACCACCAGCATCCAGATAATTGTCATTGGTATCTCCAACTGGGTTGTTGGACAAATACTGGGCAAAGATGGCAACCAAGATATGGATGTAACTCTTGGACACTGGAAATGTGTCATGATCTCCCTTTTGGGCAACACTATCTGCTGCATAGCTGCAACATTTTTCCTTGGTGTGAGTGGCAGACGCGGGAGTGATATTTTAGATATCGGAAAGGAACAAAAACTCCTGCTGGCCCTACAATCTGAGTCAGATAAGATAGGCAACGGTAAAGATGACCCTTTGCCTCCAGATGGACCAGGACAAAATGTGGACAAAAAGCCGATCCATATTGTGGTCCTGCCCAGTGAGTCCCACATCAACAAATTTTACGGGGACGGTGATCCAACCCTAACCAACAGGTTCAGTGAAGAGGTCAGGGCTGCCTGGGCCTCAAGATACATGTCACCAGAGGAAAGATTAAGACTGCTGATGTGAAGTATAGGAGAGACGGTCAGGGCAGAGGTAAAATGCCACGATAAAACCATCCAATCAGATCCAGATAAGGTGCTGGATCTGATTATGGAGACCTTTGGGGAGAGACGGTCGGGTTCGCAACTGCTAACGGTGTTAGTAGGCTTGAAGCAGAGAATGGCGGAGAGTGTGATGGAGTATTCACACAGAATGAACGGGGCCTTTGAAGCGGTAAAAGGCAAAATACCCGACATGGATGCGCGCCTGCTGAGGGACCATTTCATCGAGGGGCTGGCGACCCCTATGTCAAGAAGATATTTGAAAGAAGAGGTCTACAAAGACCCGCAGTTGACCTTCCTTCAGGTCAGGAACTCAGCGATCCGCAGGTCCGAGGATGAGGACCAATCGAACTGTTCGGTAGACAAAGTCTCTGTGCCGGAACAGAAACAATCCCCACCCACAGGGACCGGCACGATGGAAACCATGATGGCTCAACTGTTGGCCCACCTGCATAAGGTTGACCAACGATTGGAGAGGTTAGAAAGCAGGCCAACAGCAGAGAATCAGGACAAAAACGGGACAAAACAGAGACAGGTTGGACAGCCGCGACCCGCCGGTCCATCGCTCCGGTGGACGGCTGATGGTCGACCAATTTGCCTGTCCCGCTCACAACCCGGACATATGGCACAACACTGTCCGGTGAAACGATCGCTCTCTGTAGGGCAGGTCAAGGCTACAGAGCGGCGAGGTTATGGCGTAAGAAACAAAAGGGGACAAACAATGAAAGAGTCTCAAACAAGACTTGAAGAAAAATTATCAGATATTGAAAAAGAACTTCAAATTACAGCAAGGCTGGGATCCATCGAACAGCGATGGGCAGCAGAATTGGCACTCTTTGACCTAGAGATAAAATATCGCCCGGGGCGGTCCAATGACAATGCGGACGCCTTATCAAGGAATCCTTACGAGAGACCGGGCGATGAGGAAGAAACGCTGACAGGAATATGTGAGGTCAGAGCGTCAACAGATATCCCTCACGGGGTGCAAGTGATGCAAAACGGGCAGACCGGGGTGGAGCACATTTCCACAGAGCCCGGACATATGGACATTAGTGATTTTAATTGTCTTAATCACAAAGAGATAAGAGATGCCCAGAGAACGGATAGTGGCTTACAGCCGCTGTTGAAACACGTCCAGGAACAAAAATTCCCAGGAAGAAGGGAAAGAGAACAATTTGGTCGAGAAACAAAGAAAATACTGAGTCAGTGGGACCGTCTCAGTATAAAGGATGGTGTTCTCATGCGGAGAATTCATGACCAAATTGATGGGACAATACACCAGGTGGTGGTGCCTGGACAATTACGAGAAGAAGTGCTAAGGTTGGCACATGACAGGGCAGGACACCAGGGTCAGGACAGGACGCACAAAATATTACGACAGAGGTGTTACTGGCCCAATATGGAAATGGAGGTCAAACGCCATTGTGAGGCTTGTGTTAGGTGTCAGCATGCGAAAATGCCAGTTGTCAAAATGAGACAGCCATCAGGACACCTACTAGCGACAAAACCACTAGAGATTGTGGCTATGGACTTTACGTCGTTGGAGCAATCATCGGATGGGACGGAACATGTGTTGGTAATGACTGATGTATTCACCAAATGGACTGTGGCGGTGCCCACACGAGATCAGACTGCCAAAACAGTGGCAAAGGTCTTAATAGAACATTGGTTCATCAAATATGGCATACCAAGACAATTACACTCTGACCAAGGAAGGGCCTTCGAGTCAGAAGTAATTAACCAACTGTGCAGCCACTACGGGATCAACAAATCTAGAACAACCACATTTAATCCGAAAGGAAACGGACAGTGCGAGCGGTTCAACCGCAGCATGCATGATTTGCTGCGTACGCTAGAACCTGAACAGAAAAAACGTTGGCCTGATTTTCTCCCAGAGTTGGTATATCTATACAACTGCACCCCCCATGCCACAACCGGCTTTTCGCCACACATGTTGCTGTTCGGACGGGAGGCTCGACTCCCTCTTGACTTGTTCCTAGGGAAAAAGGAGAGTATGACTGGCTCATACACTGCACTGGAATATGTGAATGAACATATGAGACGAATTAGAGAAATGTACAGGGTAGTACAGGAAAGACTAGAACATGAAGCACGGCGAAGGGAACCGCCGGTACAGACAAAGGACCCGCCACTCAAACTGAACGACAGGGTATTACTGCGTAGCCACCCGTTAGGCAGAAACAAAATCCACGATCTCTGGGGACAGGAGATATGGCAAGTCGTGGAGATGCCTAAAGTAGCAGGTGGCCCCTTTAAGATAAGACCCATCGATCACGCCAAACCGGATCGGTGGGCGAATATTGCTCAATTAAAGAAATATTGTCATAGTCAAGAAGAGCAGTTACACACAAGGAAACCCAAGACAATTAGGGAACCGGAAACTATAACGGAAATTCACATACCCATCCCGGAACCATGTCACCATCAACAGAACAACAGCGAGACACAAGTGGAGGATAACGGCAACGAAGAGGATCCCGTTCCTCCCAGAAGCAGAGAGACAGTAGACCATCAGATA